ACACAATCGCCACCATATAAAATATTTTATATTTGACAATTTCACTTTTATGTCTACATCTTTCTGATGAAGCTACAGTGTAGCGAAACATGTTAAAGTTTAACAAAAAATTAGTGGAAATAAATAAGTATAATAATTTACTTTAAAAAAAAAATCTTTTACTAGATAATGAATTTCCACCTTGTAACAGCCGATTCAATAAAAATGTTTTGTGTTTAGTTTAGGTTGATATATCATCATCACACAGCCTTCTGGATCTCAAATTGTTTCTAGGTCTCCCTTTTTTATTTTAGGCAATCCAGTTTGTCTTGATTCTTTTCAGCTAGGTCATCATTCCACCGAAGGAAGTTTTCGAAGTTTTCTAAACTATCAGCACTCCTCAATCTAGCAATATGCGTTTGGCTCATGGCTCATTTCATCGCTCTGGATACAGCACAAATGATCACCTTCAATGCCTAAGAACCCTTGGTTTACAGAGAATCCAAATCAACAGAGGTTTTAGGGATCAGACGCTATATGGTCTAAAAAGGTAGGTACCTAATTTTCTAACTTAAAAGTTTTTCCAACAGAAAATTTCGACTTTTATGGCTACCTATTTGAAAAGTTATTTGGTAACTTTTGTTTTAGATTTCCACTGTTTTTAACCTGCGAAGTTTTTTGATTAAAAAAATACAAGATTCAAGTTAAAAATCAAATTTTTGACAGACTTCTCCAGGAGCTATTATTTCAATTGCCCTTCAGGCACGCCATAGGTCCTAGAAAAGTCTATGTATGCTTCTATCAAGCTTCCAGAAGAATTAAATTATGTTTTTTTCTTTTTCAGGTGTGACAAGTACAGGAACCAGAACTTTGGTAAGGTACTACTAGTTGGGTTAGCTTGGTATTGGACTTTGAGCATTTGGCTTTTTTTTCAGTAACTTCCTCTTTATAATATGATTACATACTATTTTTTACCAATTGAAGTTGAGTTCCACTGATATCCAGGACCACAATTCATGATTTGATTATTTCTACTCGGTATTTGGTGTCCTCTGGGGAGGCCGTTCGCCATATTAGGTTAGGATCCCACTTGTTACACGATTATACTATTCAAGGTAAGTGTAGCAGTGGGGCACTACCGAATGCCGGCGAGAAATGGTTGAATTATGATTGGCTGTTGAGTATCAGCTGCACAATGTGATTTCAAGTAGATTCAGATTCAGCCTAATAAGGCCTATTAGAAAAGCTGAATGCTCTCCAACTTTTCCAGGCAATTTTTTTTATGTTTTCCATATGAAGAGACAAGTGATCATGTTCTATATGGTAGCAGAAATTTTCTTGTTTAAAGAAGATTATTCCAGAATAGGAACATTGCAAGTATGTTTTTTTATTCTGTCTATTTCAGGTTGGTATCCTCATTATCATTACACAGTTTTCTGGGTCCACTGCTGAAGATAGACCTCCTCAAGTATTATTTTCAGGTCTTTCTTTTCTAGGCAGTTTCAATCTGATTTGCCTTTGATTCCTTTCAGCTAGGTAGGAAGTCTTCACAGTTTTCTGGACCATCCACACCCCTCAATCTAGCAGCATGTTTGACCCATTTCACAAGTTGGCTTTCGCTCTGGATACAGCACAAATGACTGCCTTCAATGCCTATAAGAACCCTGGCTTGATATTTACAGATAATTGAAATCAACAGAGGTGCTATGAAGCAGACGCTGGTGTGTCTAGAAAGATAATTTTCTACTTTCGACACTAAATTTTTAGGTACCTACCTACTAAAAAGTTTATCCATCAGATAATTTCGACTTTTATTGATATTTAAGAATTTTTGGTACCTTAATTCTGCTTTAGATTTCTACTATTTTCAAGCTGCAAAGTTTTAGACCTCAAAGGTGTGTTTACTAAAGGTTTTTTTATAAATTGACATGAGTGGTTTGTGGTCACTTTCTACAATAACTTTTTTGTCATAGATGTACTGATGGAAACGAGTACAACCAAAAAGCACTGCGAGAAGTTCCTTCTCAATTTTTAGAGGCATAAATAACCGGCAAATTATCTTGCAGCAAAACGGCGCCTAAACCATTTTTTGACGCGTCCACTGACAACATAACTGGCTTATTAACATTGTAATACTGTAGTATTGAAGTAGAAGATAATATCTGTTTTAATTTATTCACAGCTTGAGTATGATTATCTTTCCAAATGAAAACAGTATTTTAGTTAAACAGTTTCCTCAAATCGTTTAGGTATTGTTAGTTCTGATAAATTTGGTACGAACTTTTGAGACGTAGGTAATCATGTCCAAAATCTGTTCAAGTTCCTTCCTATTCTGAGGCGAAGGCATTCTTATTATGCTTTTAATTTTATCTCGAGTTTTATCTTCATCAACTTTTACGCCTTTACTACTTATTACATGCCTTACAAATTTTATTTCGTTGACATTAAATTTACATTTGGTTTTGTTAAATTTTATACCCTCATTTCTAGCTCTATTCAGCACTGCTAATAAATTTTCATCATGTTCTTCCTGGGTTCTACCAAAAACTAATAAGTCATCTATATAGGACTCTTGACCGTTTAGCCCCTCGAAAATTTGTTTGAATTGCCTTTGAAATACTTCTGGTGCTGAAGCTATACCAAATGGCAGCCTAGAAAACATAATAATATATCTGCCAAAAGGTGTTGCAAAAGTACACAGTCTTCTACTAGATTTATTTAGAGGTATCTCGTAAAAGCCCTGATTTGCATTAAGCAAGCTAAAAACTCTAGCTCCTGACAATTGGGCTAGCATTTCTTCTACTGTGGGAATTTGATAATATTCCCTTTTAATAACTTGATTTAAATTTTTAGGATCTAAGCACAACCTGATTTTGCCATTTGACTTTCTGGCAGTTACCAATGGATGAACCCATTCTGTAGGCTCAGACACTTTCTCAATTATTTTTAATTTCTCCAGCCTGTTTAATTCAGCTCGAACTTCCTCTCTAATAGATAGTGGAATTTTACGAGCATTGAATGCAACTTGTGCAGCATTTTCTTTCAAAATAATGGTATGCTCTTGTTTTAGGCAACCAATACCTGTGAATAGATCCTATTATTGTGACAAAACATCATTTAGACGCTCATGATTAATTCTTTTGATTAACCCAAACTTTTTACAATGCTCCAATCCTTAAAATTGGTGAACTATTTACAGTATCTACACCAAGAAAGTCTAAATTGGCCATTCGTTTATTTGGGAAAATGCAATTAAAAAAACATTTGCCCAAATTTCCAATGCTAGTTCCATTGTAATTTATTAAATTAATATTTGATTTAAACAATTTGGCTCTAGGAATTTGTTCAAATATTTGGAAATTATGCCAGCTTGGGCCCCTGTATCTAATTCAAATTTAATATATACCTTGATGGGTGCTTTGCTGACTTGAACTACTTCAGTCCACTCTTTAACTACTCTGTTGGCCTCATTTACTGAACCAATAAAAATTGTTGTTTCTTCATCTGAGTCCTCATTATTGGTAATTTCTTGAGTGCTGATTTCCTTTACTTGCTTTAGTTTGCACATTTCAACAAAATGATTTATTTTGTTACATTTTTTGCACGTTTGATTGTATGCTGGGCATTTATTTACCTTGTGTGTATGTCCACATCTTGTAATTTTTTTATTGCTTTCTCCTTTTTCATGGTTTCTTGATTCTGTGTGTCGTGCACTGAGCCCAGCCTTTTCTGACCAACTTTGTTTATAGCAAGTGACTCCATTGCTATTTCCGTTACTTGACTCTCGGTAACGAGCACTGGTCGGCACAAGTCAATGCACTTACTCAGAGTTAAATTAGGTTCTGTCAGAAGTTTTTCTCTTAATTTGGAATGCTCAATACCACAAATCAAGCGATCTCTTATCAGTGAGTCTTTTAATTTACCAAAATCACATGAGTTGGATAGTGATTTTAGCTCGGTCACGTATAATTCTCGAAATTTTCTCCGGTTTTTTGATTTCTCATAAAGAATTTGTGCCTTTCGTAAGTTACGTTAATTTTGGGCACAAAATAGTCATTAAATTTAACAACAAGGACATCAAATTTGTCCACTTCATTTGATTTGAATTCCAGTCTGTTGAAAATGTCTAGGCCCTCCTGACCCATGCAGTACAACAACAGACAACATTTTCGTTTTTTAATCAGCATTCTGCAGGTCTGCAGCAGCTAAAAACACTTCAAAAGACTGCCTGAACTTCACCGGCTTTGAAGTTTGAGGGTTTCAAATCCATTTCGCGAGAGCTTCAGATCACTTTTCTTTACGACTGCGCCATGTTATATAATACACAAGTTACGGGATATTGCTATTTAACTTTTTTATTTAAACACCATTAAGTTGTTCCATTCAACTTACATTTTTTGACTAAAAATCTTGACAAGTGTCTGACTGACTACATACTACAACTCGGTCATCATTCGATCAGGTTGGAAGTCCTAGCAGTTTCCTGGACCATCCGCACCCATTAATCTAGCAACATGTTCGGCCTATTTTCATCAACCTAAGAAGCAAACTGGGTCTCACTCTGGATCGAGCACAAATTACCACAAAGTCTACAAATCTTTGGTTAGAATGTTCATGAAGATTTCATGGATCAATGGTAATACTATTTTTCGGCGGTGAAGTTACATGTGCACCAATTCTCAAAATATTTCATGATTTGACCAAATCTTCCGGCATATGGGGTTCCCGGAGAGGCCTAATGCCATAGTTTTCCTGGATCCCTTTTGTTGCACTATTATACTATTTACGGTAAGTGTAGCAGTGGTGCCATCCAAGCTGGCGAGAGGGTGTTTAATTCATCATGTAATTTCAAAGTGGAATAGGCCTAATGGGGAAACCATTTGAAAAAAAAAAAAAAAACGCTCTAACAGTTCGTACCTCGAGGGTGGTGTGGAAATCGAGCAATTCAAGTTACAAGGACTAATAACGCTCTTATAATTGAGTATTTTACTGGTAAGTATTTGAAAATAAAAGGTTTTCAAATGACAACTTTTCGTTATAGGGCAGTACAAATAACCAATGGTAAATTTATTCCTAAATACTCTTATCTGCAGGATTTGCAAGAGATGAGATGGGACCTTATCGCCAAAACTAATATCCAAAATGACTGGGAAGAACTAGCTCAGGAACGCAAGATATGGGGAGGTGTGGTTGCAAATAACACGGCAGAAAATAGGCCACGTCAGAATCCAAGAGTTTTTGGAATGCCTAGACTGTGACAGAGTAATTTCTTCTAAGATTAGAATATTCAGCCATAGAACACAGAAGATCAAGCACTCCACTCTATTCTATTTCATGAGTTTTCTTAAAGGACAAAATATATTTGAGTTTGAAGATTGCATAATAATACTAAATATTGATACAGGTACCTTTTTAATATAAAAAGTATAAATTTGTAGGTATATTATTACAATAAAATTTAAAGGATTGGATAGCAAGCTTGTTGGGCAATAGCACACAAGTTGTGCCCAATAGCCATCCTGAAATATCCAGATTCACCCCACCCAGTTCCCCAAGAATTCTTAACAATCCAATAATCCTGACCATTTTCTGTTCCGTAGCCTACAACCAGAACTCCATGGTCGATTGCTGTAGAACAGCTTGTATCAGCGAAAATTCCACCACCATACGATTGAAGTAAATCGGCGTTTATGGCCACAGATACAGGCCCAACAGAACCGACTGCGTTTTTAAGGTCGTTTTCATCGTTCTGGTTTATTTCTGTGTATCCAGTGCTTTTGATTACTGTATCACCAGCTCTGCAACTACCTTGATATGCTTCGTAAGGGTAAGCGTCTTCAGTAGCAATACCGTGATCCCTGACGTAGTCTAAACCACTTTGGACTATACCTCCGTCGCAACCATCAGCAGAATATCCAGAATTTGAAGTGCAACAATCTATAAGGTTTTGTTCACTGAGTGAGAGAAGTTGGCCTGATTTAATCGCATAGACGCCTTCAAGAGTTCCAGTCTAAAAATTATTTTTAAATTATTTGTTGGTTCCGAAAGAAAGAAGGTTGTTGAGACATGTGAAATTTTACAAAAATTACAAATAAAAATGTCTCAAAGTAATCTAAAGTAACAAATCAATTACAATCACATAACTTCATTTTTTTAGACAATGTAATTCTTCGCGAATAAATTGGAGCGGAAGTCGAAAATGTCCGACAGCAAAAGTAACTATTGTTATTGAATGGTGGAAAATTCTTACAGCACTGAAAGCCCAGCATGAACCACAACCTCCCTGGTTCTTAACTGCAGTGACCGCGCCCCTCTCTCTCCAATCAATGCTATCGGGAATATTCAAAGCTGGAACGTGCAGTTTCCTCAACTCAGACTTAGTTTTGTTGAATGGTACTGCATTTAAATAAGCGACAAATTCTTCTGAAGTCATGTCAGAAAATTGGTTGACTGCCAAGTACCAAGACACCGAGCCGGCGTTGTACTTGGCGTTGTGCTCCTGGATTTTGTTGAGGTTTCCTTTGAAGACTGCGTAGCGCAGTTTGTGTTCAGATTCAGTTTGGTAGGATTTGCCATGGTTGATCTGAAGTTAATTAATTGAAGATTTAATTTGAGAGAAAATAGAAAGATTGGGTTTACTTACTTTGAATTTGTTGAAAAGTAGCTCGTTTGAGCTTACAGCTAATAACAATGATACGAATAAAAGTGTTTTGAACCACATTTTGCTGAAACTTGATGACATAAATATATTTTATTGAAATTATATAAATACTTACCCTGCCTTTCACACAATGAATATGTAATATGCAATTCCGGCATTCTCAAATTTTATTTATATACATAACTATCTAATCAAAACACTTGTTGAATCAAGTACCAATGTCCTGTATTGATAGTTTAGGTAGGTTTTGCAACAAGAGGCTTTTCAATAATAGCAAGTAAATATTTCACAATGACAATAACAATTCATAAGCGGAAATTACGTCGATCACCGAAAAAAGTCTGTTTTTAAAAAGTTTATTTTCAAAAGTTATTTCTAGAGCAAAACAATATGGAATGAATATTAATCTTAAACTAAGGTACATTTATAATTTAATTTGTGCTGAGCTGGTCCACGTGTCTGGTGATGGGAAACATCTTGCGTAACAGGTTCCATGAGATTCGTGATGGGTATACTTTGTAGCTACAATGTAACTCCTCCCATCTTAAGTTAGAAAATATCTCTGGTATTTTCTAAGGCAACCTCTTCTGTCGGATTTTGGCTTTTTCTTGAAATATTTGGCAATGGCAATTCTTCTTTGAAGTATTACGATTATTATGATGACCAGTAGACAGACGACTAGGACACCGATTATTATCGAAGAGTATTGGCTTGGTCCGTTTTCGATTTCTTGAACTGGAGATAGTTGGTTTGCCATGTCTTTTAGCTTGTAGATTTCTTCTAAGTTGATTTGATTTAGATTTTGGGTTTCGAGCATTTTTGTTGTTGTTGTGAAATTAGCGATAAATAATTCTGGTAGGATGAGTGGTTTACTATGGTTGATTTTCACGTTGTTGGTAAATTTCTTGGATCTAATTTGAATATGGCATTCTTTAGGAATTTTTACTAATGTCGGCTCTTCTAGATCAATATATTGGTCCAGTTGCGTTGCATTTTGTGAGGAATTATCAGGATTTTGTTACGGGATGATTTTTCCCGCACCAAAATAAAAGGAAATAAGCTTATTCACCTCTCTGAATAGCATACCTTCCTCAAGCCACTGTTTTCTATCCCATAGTTGTAGCCAAACTTTTCATCAAACTTTTTATTTTTCCCAGAATCATTAAGTTAGAGGTTTATTAATGGAATTGATTTTCTGTTAGTAGGGTTAAAATAAATAGACAATTAATTTATTAATAAAACAAAATCACAATATTTACACTAGAACAGCTGATGTCTGATCCGAGTAGATTGATTAGATTGATAGCGCTCCAAATAGGGTCAATGACCGGTACTAACTTAATTTGAATAAGTACCATGCCCCAACTACCATCAAAATCCCTAGTACCTTCCACCTTCGACTTTTGACAGAGACTTTTTAAAGGACATTGCAGGGACAAGCAGAGGTCATTCAGGTCGAGGACTTTTCACGATTAAGTGTTCGGGAAAATTCCTCAGGCACATTTTGCCGATTTTCTGAGTTGTCTAGTTTTCGCTCATAGATCTAGGGTGGCTAATCCGTTATTTTAGCACCCAATCGCCTTGTGCGGATTTTTTTTGTGAGTCGAAAAAGAGCAACGTGTCCAATTGTTTGTTCCTAAAGGCCAAATTATTTTGGTGAGTCGTTTTTCTTATTAATCTTCTCTGTGTTTCTCTATTTCCTATGTAAAAGCATAATTTTCTGTTAATTATACGGTTAAATTCCGAATATCGGACATACCTACCTCTATTGCTCCACGCCCTGTCTCATAACGTCCATTTGTTTCAGGCCTTTAATCTTCACCTTTAGATGTTACGCTTTATTCATCACCCCTAGAAGTTACACTTTAATGAGAAAATATTTGGTTTGGTTTCCCCACGAACTGAAATTTGGTTGGCCGATTAGATTACTCAGTCACCATATTGCAGCGAAAATTGCTGCTTGGTGTTGAAGTTTTGTCTTAGATGGCGCCACGATCAAATTTCGACCGTTGTATTACACTTTAATGTTTACCTTTAGATGTCACCTTTTATTCGTCACGCTTAGTCCTTAACTTGAGTAAAGAGTTAAACGTTGAGCTTACTGTGTATTTTAAGTAGTACCTGCAATCTTCAGCCTCCTCTAGACCATTGGAAGCTTTAGTGACTCCTAGTTACAGTTACTGAACTTCAGTGCCCAGGGCCAGTGGCTTCTTGTTGCGGTCTTGATCCAGTCCCAGGCCATCGGAAACACTGGAAGATATTAGTTCCATCCGTCAGGTTCCCCCAAGAGTTTAGGGACTACTCAGGTTTGATAAGTGTGTTGTATTGTCTTATATCAAACCTTACCAACCCCTTGTTGGAGTTAATCACCACAACAACGCAGTTCTACTATATTAAAATTATCCTTCAGATTAGATGTTATTATTTCAGTTTTAATCAATTATATATCTTACCTTTACTATATGAAATTTACCATTCAGGTTGGGTATTGTTAGGTACTTCAATTTTATTAGGTATCTAGGTATTTATCCTACCTATATTGTTACATAATATTAAAGCCCTTCAGGTTACGTATTGTTACTTCAACTTTGATTAATGCTGCACTGAATACAGGTAAATACTTGTACCACAGCATATACAAAAACAATCAGCAGGCTAACTTGAGTGACAGCCCGTGTAATAAAGGAATTCATCGTCAAAATGTCACTAGCGGCCATTTTGGGATACGAAACAGGGCCCGATTAACGATAATTTAGGTTTTTTCTTTCCTGTGACAGAGTCGTATTGGCTTTAAATAAACTAATTTATTATTACTTACATATAAAAATGTTTATAATTACTAATTTATTATTATTATTGAATATACAAGAATGATAACAGATAACACCATAAATGACAACACGAATATATCAAAATCGTTTTGAAAATCATAGCTAAAATTCCGCTCTACACCGCACGCCTATGACCTCCGTCAGAAATAAACAAATAAAATAAAATTTCGGCGCTCCTGCCGTTTAATGACAGCGTTTTGACAAAATGGAATCCCCTAATGGCGGCGTGCGCAGAAAAGATGCGCGTGAGAGTTAGCCTGCTGATTGTTTTTGTATATGCTGTGCTTGTACACTGGGGTTAAATGGCCATTTACGAAGGTACTGCATTGAGTGAGCTTATTTAGTAATTAATATTTCAGGTATTATGGACCTTTCTCATGCAATGAACAACGAGGATGGTTTATTAAAATTTATGTAATAAAGAAAGAGACACATATAATGACGCGCGATACCTGTGTGGAATGACTTTGATTGGTTCCACTTGTCAAATTGTGCAATTTCGGTTATGTTTCTGTTTTTGTTTATTTTTAAACGTAAATATGACAAATATATGGGGGAAAAGTTTAGAAAATTTTAAGAAGAGCGAATTTGCAAATCTTTAATTGTACAATTATTATTGTATTTGATATAGAAATCGTTATTTTAAGAACCCCTCAAACCTCCTGTTCCAACTTAAATCATCTTCAGTCAGGTTGAGATCATGTAACCATTGTTTTCTTAAAAATTGATTGCTTGGGAACTTGTGAAAAGAAAGGTTTGATTTCTTTTTCACCTTACTCTGACAAGATCTCACATAACACATTTGAACCATTGTATAATAAACAGTTTTTGTAATAATTTTCAGCAATATTGATTGATTATTGAGGTTAGCTTAAAAAACGTCAGGGTCAGACCACGTTTCCGCATTCCAGTTGACAATTTTATTATCTGTCACCCACAAGCTGTGCGCGCAGCGCAGGTAAAACGAGAAAGGTCCATTGTTGTTAATTGTTATTACTCTTTATTTTATTTTTTTATTAAGGGACTCAAGTTGAGTGTAATTAATCATTTTGTAAATACTATTTTAAGAACATATGGCTAGACGATTTCTTTTCTTGTTCTGTTCTGGTTCCAGTGTAAATAATTTTCAGTGTTCCAGGGCGCTCGAAAAACTCACTCCGAACTTGCTCTGGAGTCAAACCTATTCTGTTCTGGTTCTAATTAAAACCCGTACCTGATTGTAGCAAAGCGTTTCACTTTTGTCCTCCCTTCTTGTTTACGTTTATATTTCAGGTTGTGCTGCTGTAGGTCCGTAGAAGTTTCCTGCTTTCGTTATATCAGTTGATTTCGTGTACTACAGGGAAAAAGCAGGTGGCGCTCTATATTCAGTTATTTAAATAACCCACACCCCTCTCCGTATTGGAAGCTAGTTGGCAACCCTTTACACGAAATCACGTTTCTAGATTTCAGCCACCAACCAACCCTCTCTCTTTATTTCTCTGTTTTAGTTACCCATTCACTATCTCCCTTCCTCAAATCTTATCATTAACTTCTCCCTTACGTTTTGTGTGCGGGTAATAATTTCTTCGGTAGTGATTTGTTCTATTTTTGATTCTTACAGAATTTGGTAGGAATTTGTTTTTTGCCCGTCTAGAACTTCAATGATACAATCCCCAGTAGCACAACAATATTGGTAAAATATTAAATTTACATATTGGCCCAAGGATGGAAACGACAATTTTTTTTTTTTTTGCGTAATATATATTTCAAATATGAATCCGATGTTGAAGAAAAATATTGTCCCAATATTGCAAATTAATAAATATGTAATATTGCTTTTAGAAATATACCCAATATTTGTTTTTCAGATTGGCACAATGTATACTTCTTATATGAATCCGATATTGAATATAAATATTTCTTCAATATTACCAATTAATAAATATGTAATATTTCTCCTAGAAATATTTACAATATTTCCTAGAAATATTTACATTATTTCTTTGGAAAAACACATGTATTTAACCAAAAAAGAAACAGGTTTGAAGGAAACTCAAACGCTAGGAAAAATCGAGGCCATCAGTAGTGCGTGGTGCCCTCTCTCGGTAGTCCTGATTGATATGGAAAATGTACATCTCCTACATATCACCAATATTGGATAAATATTAAATATAAACATGAATAAAAGTTAATGCCAAATATGGATTATCCATATTGGATCAATATTGGATTCACATATTATATAGTAATAATAATGTAGGCGAAAGGTTAATCTCCTATACCGGGTGTTTTTCAAAACTCGCTCACCCCTATAACTTTTTTATTTTTCCAAATAAA